CAAACTTGGATCAAAGGCTATCGAAGCAGCCTAAAAGATTCATAGGGCATTTCACAGTGATTGTGAATGTGAATCTAGTGAGTAGAAGTGGTGTAAAAAATTCAGAATAGGGCTATATTACTTTTTCAGTATCCGTACAACCTTTGTTTCTCTACTGGATTAAACCTAGATCACTACTGTGGAAATAGAAGACTATGGAACTAGAAAATTTAATACTCAAAAACAGCTTCTTATAACTAGATAATACAATTAGTTTTAAAGGCTTCTGTCTTTCCAAAACCACTGATCATAATCTATTTTCAATACCAACGTACAGCTCTACACAACGCTCTATTTTTACCATCCTCGCAATTGCAGTTACATATTTAATATCTTCTCCTCCGCCAATTTTCCAGATCCAATAGTACTTTTATAGAACCATCATTTTTGCCATTTTCTCAATTCACATTTCACTTAAGACAAATGGTGCCGCGTCACTCTATCCACCTGTCTATTATTCCCAGCTTCGCCATTTTTATATCCCACCGTCCGTTCAACATCTATACCACACACCGCAACATTTTCATTGTTCGGAGCCTATATAATCTCGCCTCTGATCATAATCTGGAATTTTATTTTATCTCCGCCATTCCGTTGACACTGTTACTTCCACCGCCTAGATCATCCATGACCTCCAGCATTTTCATCGCGCAAGTATCCTGCAACTGCATATTTGATAACCGTAGAACCGTGCCCCCGTTGGTGCCAGCCGGTATTTTTATAGACCATTAATAATTACCATTCGTGCCATCTATACCGTTTATCAGGCTTCGCGCCGACGAAACCGGCGCGATCGACGCGCGAAGAAACAGAGAACGATAGTTCATAAAAGATTCAACGTTAATTACCGGAAATGGCCCGGCTGGAAATCCGGTTTTTATATCTGCCGGGACGAGCGCGATATTTTATGAGTGGCATCGAGCGGCGGAACACGGCCGAGAAGTTTACTCCTGATCGTCGGACCTGCGCCTCTAGACGACGAGCGTCGTGACGTTTGGCCCGGCGTCGATGGTAACAGGTACCGACGGCCGGCGTTTCTCAAAAACTGCCAAAAAGTCGTGGCAACGAGGGTCGACAGGTGGAAGCGCGGACGAGGAGAGACGATGAGAAATTCCGGTGGCGCGAGACGGGTCGGGGTACGATGCATTATTTAAATTTTAAAAGCATTTCGGAGTGCCGGCTTAATTCGCCGTCTAGTTAGCCGACCACCCTCCTGCCACCCCGTTTGTCGTGCGTGGACGACAAACAACCATCGAAGTCGCATACAGAACAGCCCGCTTGACCCTCCGGCTATTATAAACGTACATTATCTATAGTTGAGAATCTTATAGCAGCAGAACGAACGTTGATTAAATAGATAGGGAGATGCTGGAACGCCATGAATATTAGAACACCCCAAAGAACTAAATTTTGCATTGAAACAGAAAACAATACATATTTCGATTATATTCTGTTCAACACATATTTTAGAATTACTAAAATAGGCGGGGTAATAAAGAACAGAGAATAAAAATTTTACTTCGCCCAAACGATACAATGTTTCGCTCTTTGCAAATGCACGCTTTCTTTACGTTTCTCGAAACTCTTGATAACCTGCCATTCCTAGGAATTCTTGGAAATGTAATCCCTTGATAATACTCTGACTGACGTATCTTGCAACGAACTCGTATCATGACATACTCTGACTAAAGTGTTTATGGCACACTTTCTGCAAATCTATGAAAAATATATTTTAATTTAGTCCCTATTGTTAGTGAACAATGTTACAAAAATAGCAGGTAATTAGCGAACTAGAAGCAGCATGGATCCATGGATCAATTATTACCACTATCCCATCAATAACAATTCACCCAGTCTAGTCTTCAGTCCGCCCAAACTGGGGCCTGATCTCCACACCGTAGCATACGAATATCAGAGAGAAAAGTATGTCAGTAAAAAAAAAACCCCCCAATTAAAGGAATGGAAGACAATTTCCTAAAGTCTGGTTTATCCCGTCTCGAACGGGATCCGCGGGGACTTTCTCGTATCTCACGGATCCCGTTAAAGGCTTTCAATAAATTGCATCGGCTCGCGCCGATCGGAGATGTTGAAAACATTTTTTTCCACGGTTATGAATCCGCAGTTCCCGCGCAGGAGCTCTCCTAGCAGTCCATATTTATACAGTCAAAGCGGGATGACAGATCGACGTTCGGTCGCGCCTCGGTTCGCCTTGTGCCGATGAATATTTCAGTCACTCCTGGCTTCAGCTGTCTGTCCGCGGGACAAGATGCGCGAGAAAGAGAGAAAGGGTGGCGGATCGAGAGGGGGTGAATCGTTTCTATGTATAGAGACGCATGTTCCGGCGAACTTTCGACCTGAAATGACCCGAGGCGAGATGCAGACGCCACCGTGAGTTTTCCACCTTCCGCGACAGAACCACCCCCCGGTGGCCGGCAACCACCTAATGATCGGTCTAATCTAGGATATCAGACGATTTTCTATGAATAACAGGAAATTGCATATTTACCTGCGTGCGTCCCAGATAGACGAGCCTTCTCGCGCAGACCGGATGTGCAGGATCCACGCTGCTCGCGTATCTTGAAAAATAAATCGAAATTGTAGGATGACATTTTTCCGTACGAAGCTTCGTTTCGTAATAAATTGGGACAGTAAACAGGGACAATTTCTGTCACCTAACCATGAAATTATATAAGATGCGATTATTATATATTTATTGATTTTTTTTTTACATCAAATTATTTCTCTATTTAACGAGATCGATATTAATAATTTATATCGACTCCAAGTATTAATTTACCATGCTTAAAAATCTGAATATTAATTAGCTGCATTATTAACAGGTGGCAGTGTCATACAAATCCAGGTCGCGATTTTCCTTCAGGAATAAAGATGGCCGAAATTAACCGCTAGCCACTGTCTATTTCTAAATGGATATGGGAAATCTTTAAAAGGTAACTGACCCCGTGCCCCTCTCCATCTTTAAGGAGCCCTGGTTCTACATTAACTAGAAAATAATTAATAATCTACCCACGATCTTTTCGAGAAAATCATTTCCCTCCAAAATTCTGCATGACAAGCGAGCCAAATTTAACGTTGGAAAAATTGCCTGGCTGACACCGGCCGAATAAAAATTGAAAAATTCGATCAACGTTTAATCTTCGGAAAAGTGTTATTTCGCGTGGAAAACTCAATCGACGAAATGAAGAGTGTCGTGCTGTTTTTTCGCTGAAACTTCATAATCGTATTAGGGGGACACGTCCGGACGAACGTTTGGGATTATGGAGTTACGGATACCTCGCGATGAGACGCGATATTCGGTTTATCGGACGTGCAACGGCGATACGATCGACTGTATGATAAACGTAATAAAAAAATGCGTTTTAACCTAGGTGAATCACATGCATTACGACGACTGGGTTTTGGCGTGGTGGTTTTTCAAATATTCTCGTAATAATTGATCAAGTAAACGATATCGTTGAAAACTAAAATTTGTTCTGGTATTTATTTTCATAATCACATCGACATTCTTAACCAAATTTATTTCTTTAAAACCTTAAAACAAATACACATTGCATTTTGAGGTTACGTTGTCGTTCCCATCGGAAGGATTAACTTTACGAATCGGCATGTTGCGTTAACGGAGTCGCTCGGGAAATGCGGAAACCGATTTCCAGAGAACGTTCATACCATGAATTAAATCAAGGATAACTCTGATCGAGTACTCATGCTTCTGTGAATATTCATGGAGTGTTCAGAAATCGAGTTTTCAAAGTAGATGCTACGATATCCATTACTATTTTCGAAGGACATATCTCGCCGCTTAACTATCGGTTGCTTAATTATTCAATATTGTTTTCCGCGTTAAATCTATCGTTTCATTTATATTAAACCGTTTTCGAATGTAAGTAAGCCCGATAAAACCGAATATTTAAATCCCTCTCGTCGATAAGGAATCGCTCTGCTATCGATGCTTCGAAGTCAAATAGGAGATAAATATTGATAAAAGCAATTGCGTCGAGATATCTTCAAATGTGGAACGCGTTGTCTACATTTTTTTAAACGTTGTTTAAAGTTCGGTTAATTGTTTTCTATTCAATTTGTGCAAACAGATAAAACATATCGCGATCCATGGAATTACTCTTTTATATAAGCATTTATTTAAATTATTAACAGTCATTCGTGCGAATATATTCTGATTTAACAGACAATTAAAATGCTATGACTCGTAATTGATAGTGGAAAGAGATATTTTATTTCTATAAATATTAAATTTATTTTATATTACAATTGCGTTTCTTTGCAGATTTTAACTGCAATTATAAGTAGATAATTACGTTAGAAAGCCCGAGTACTTTTTTATCAGCGAATATTTTTCCAGCGAATTCCAATCAACAGCGACATACTACCACGATACGATGGCACACACAGTTGCATTTTATGACCAAATTCGTTGCACATTTATTATCATCGAAAATATTGTTTGTTGTACACGTACAACCTCCTCCCATCGCTTTGCACAATGCATTTGATAATCGTTTGTTGTTACATTGTTCGAAAGTTAGATACTTTGTAAACTATTCAACAAAATTGACATTTTATACCAGGAGACAATGAACACCAAGAAAGTGTTCTTTATTTTGCACAAAAACCCGACTTGGCGATCATGCAATTTTAACTGCCTTTCACTCGGGGAATTAAATCGGCATGCATCTTTCCGCATTCTCAGATATTTATCAGTGTGCAAATAAATAGCAACAACGCCATTTCGTTTTATATTTAATATTTGCGTTAAATTAAAAATACGGACTATTAGGAATAATACGAATAAAACGAAAATCCGTTAATTAAGATACTTGACATTTATTAAACCGTTGCATATTTACTTATTAAGTACGATCGATTGTGCCATACAGGCACGTGGAAGTTGTTTGACATTAAGTCCCGTGTTCGTAAAGCTTAAAGTAATATTATTTGTATATCGTGCTGTTTCAAAATGAGTATAGACACCGAATCGGATTTACAAAAACTGTTTGTCGAATCATCAGCTAATGATAAGGTTTTTATGGTAGCAACAACTGTGGATACAGGTATTCGCGAGCTAGCTTATTAATTAAAAGCCAGAGCACGTGGTTTGCTTAGAGTAACCTCTACAGCACTTCAATTTCAGGTTTCGAGTGGCAAGCAGTTGACGAATGCAAAGAAAAATTAAATAAAAATGTTAGGATCGTTAAAGAACGCGGAAAAATCTTTTTTAATATATACTGGACTCAATTTGAACAAGTATTACTATGCTTTTTCATTGTTTTTATGTAATAATTTTAAAACTATGGATATCGCAATATTTGAACGAAAGAATGTAACAATATGTAAACTAGATGAAAAATAGATTTACCGTATTTTGTCTTACTTAATTTGCAATTTCAGGTACAAGAGATGAGATCAATAGATAATATATTTATTATTGCCGATGTAAGAAAATTTGAATTCATCGAAACTAGTAAAGAAGTTGATTTACAGCTATTCAAAGATGCTGTGCACAATGATATGAAATTAGAAAAGGCTCTGAATACTTGGAAACGTGTCACTGGTTTCCAAGGGAAAATATATCCAACCACAGAGGAATACAAAGCAGTAGAAAAGGATCGTAAACTTTCGAACATACTCACGCTACCAACGGTGTGTAAGGGCAAGAAAAGAGGTCAAGATCCATCCAAGGCTAAAGATGATGAAGTTCTAAGATATAGGGTAACGTGTGAGAGGACTGGCAAGCATACATTTGAATCGGCTGATGTTGCCAGAGCTATTGGAGGGGAATTACAAGACAAATATCTCTGGCTTGTAGATTTGTCTACCTATTATTTAGAAATAGTTTGTAAATTAATTAATAGTAAGTGAAATACAATTACAGCAATGTTTGTTCTGTTACAGCAATTAAATGTATATTGTATTGTTAATAGACGAATTGGTAACATATTTACGTGTTACACACGAATCCAAGCATCGCCGAAATATCACGCGCTTTGGACCAACTACTCTTAGGGCAACTGTGTGTTATAATTTGTTACGATTAGCTCAACCTAATCCAGGAGATATAATAATTGACCCAATGTGTGGTGGTGGTTCTATTCCAATAGAGGTATCAGAAATTCTGATATAATTTATTTCTATGTCTACACATATACTCCAGCGATAGACAATGCTAATATCGAACATTTTAGGCAGGTTTAGTTTATTCACAATGTCACATTATTGGTGGTGACAATCATCCAAAAGCTGTAGTTAGGGCAAAGTCTAATATCGATGAATCTGCTACTGGATGTAAAATTGATTTGGTACATTGGAATGTATCACATTTACCATTTCAAGATTCGTACGTCGATATTGTTGTTACTGACATGGTAATTAAATTTCACATTTTCATACCTCTAACAATATCATTTTTATTATATTTAATTATGAAAATAACTCTTACAGCCATTTGGAAAAAGAAGTGGACGAATTGTAGACAACAGAATTCTATATAAACAATTTTTAATAGAATTGGGCCGAATTTTAAAACTTTCAACAGGTCGAAGTGTTTTACTCACTTACGACAGACGTAGCTGTAATATGGTATGCAATGAATCAACTTATTTGCTTTTGCAGGCTGTGAACTTTTTCTTTTTGCAGGCCTTACAAACAGCTGGAGATTTGTACCGAATAACGAAAATGTTAGGAGTAAATATAGGTGGTCTCCAAGCTGCAGTTTACGTCCTAAAACGGACAGACGTACCTTATGAACAATTTAAGCCTAAAGCTATTAAACATATAAAGTGTACTAACAATTGAACAAGGGGCTCATGAATATTGGTAATTCTAGACTGACTTTGATATTTTTGTTATAAGTTAATATTTCACGAGAGTTTAATAAAAAGAAATTTTTATATTTCTTATAGAAACTTTATTGTTTAATGTCCATAGTAAATAAAGTTTATAAGAAAAATTTTCTTCTACTAGTTTCCATGTCGTGTCTTCGTCCTTGAATAAGCCATTCGTATTCTCCATATTTGGTGTCAAATGTTCCATGTTGCAAATATTTCAGTTTCAGAGTAAATCTAGGCCCCAACTCTCTCAGTGTAGCTTTTCCTTTTTTCAGATCAAATTGGTACCTGTATTGTTATTTATGTTATTACATTTTCATTTTACCGTTATGTTAGATAAATTTAAAATTTTACCTATGATGCCTGAAAAATATGTAATCTCTCTGATTATGAAACGTTACTGCTCTTCTTCCTTTAAATTCAGGTTCATAGTGAAACAATGCCCCTAACATTCTACCGATCGTGTAACCCAAACGAGTAGTAAAATTGTTCAATATAACTTCCGGTCTATGCTTTGTAATTTCTTTGTGACTACGTTTTAATTCCGGTGTTATTTTAACATTGCTAAGTTTAAAATATGCTGTTGGTCCATCAGGCAAATGAACAATCAACATACCATCTAAGAAATTTGATAAGAAAAATAAGATGTAATCCCTCGATCGAATCCGAGTTATTTGAACTTTATAAATATATCAAAAAGGATACTAGGTTTACACTGATCTTCGTTAATAACGATAATGTCAGTGAAATTTCTAGCAATGGCACTTTTTACCATTTTCTTGACTCCAGAGCGGTTTCTGTACAACGAAATTGAATTTGGTATTATTCTCGTTAATTCAACACCAAAAATCCTAGATTTCCTTGTCGGATTGTCGGAATAAGTAATCAAGACTTTAGGCTCGTAATCGTGTCTATAATAAGCAGCAAATTCATCGTGCTCGAAGTCAACTTTGAGTTCTTGATTTTCTTCATCATCAAGATCACCAGTGACGACAGTTTCATCTTTCTCTCTCAAACTTTCAATAGTGTGCGGCACTTGCTTTGGAGCACCTTCTTGAATCCTCTGTTTCTTGGCTTCCTTCTTGGCTTTTATTTTCTCTTTCAATAACCTTTGACATTTTTTATACCGCACTGCTTTGCATTTTATGTGATTAAAGTTGCTGTCGGATGGCAAAATAACCTGCGATTTTTTGTCTTCCGATGTACTTGGACCTGCTTCGTTACTTTCATCATTTACTTGATTGAATGGATTTACTCTTAAATTTTTTACCTTCATTTTAGAACGTTCTTTACTGTAATCAATAATCAAAATTGTTTTTGTGTACCATGTGCTAGTACTTCACAGTGTGAAGTTCACACGTGAGCTTGATGTCATTAGGTTATGGGAAAATGTATTTCAGTGCCGCCAATTTGAAAGAAAATTCTGCATCAATAAACGATTTAATTCATCTCAATTAATTAATCGATTATGCGATGCGATCGAACATATAGTCGATTAATGAAATAGATCATTCACAATGATTAAAGATTCAATTCACTTGCGATCATTGTCGACTAAATGAACGATTATTCTTGCATTGTCGAGTTACGAACTTTAACCATTTGAAAGTATATTTCTGACGATTTATTTAAAAAATAATAGTTATAGAATATTTTCCAGTGTAGGGCAGATAATAAAAAAACTTAAATTTGTTCGAACGCGTAGAAAAGATATTTTCAATGGTTCGATCAAAATCGTCGTTGTTACGTTGATTAAATTTTGATGATAGTAGCGAATATTTGGAATTACCTTTATTTATATTAATCAAAATATATTTATATATAAATATTTGTACAAATGTACTCCTTTGCACATAACATATATGTTCATAAATAATTTTTACAATTGTATTAATTTATATACATTTAGATATAATTTGTGTATAAAACTCAGCGAAAATGTTAACTGTACAGCTTATCCTAAATTAGTTTAAAGTATTCCTGACCTTTATACATGAATATTGCCTATCATAATCAAAGATTATTCTATGCAACTATATATCGAAATAATTTAGGAATGAATCCACCCTTCAAATTTCTTAACAATTTAAAAGCTTTTTATGGTTAGAAAAATTTCATTGCTATCCATAATACAAAAAATACAGCTACAGAGAACAGAAATAAATAGAGAATGTAGTAAGAATGGCTTCCTTTGGACAAGCGTAAGACACGTGCAACGGATCCTGTTAACGAACCGCTTGTTCTCTCAAAATCTTCATCCTGCGATGAAAAAATGTTTATTCTCTCCGTTTGTATACTAATTATTACACATTCATGAAAAGCAAAGAGTTGTTTTATTTACCATCCCACGAAGCATTTTTTCTTGATATTGTACTTCATTTCCAATGTCGATCGACAATGACTTCAGAGCATGAATTTTATCCTTTAAATGATCCGTCATTCTTTCATTCTCATCCTCCACACCATTGTGACTCGATGTCGTTGGTACAGGTTCATAGGCATAATCTTTCATGGAAATCAATAAACATAAGTTATAAGAATTATACTTTATCAAAGCGAAAGCAACACTACTGGTTAACCTACTTGAATGAGCTCGCCGCATTTTATTCTCAATCTTGACGGTTGATTAAGACACTTCTGCAACAGAAACGATTGTAATTAAATTGTACACTAAAAGCGTCATTAGCATTAGTAAATTACAATACAGATTAGGCTATAGTTAACAATTCATCTGTCAACGTCGATTTCTTTAAAATGTTCATGTTACATTTTTTTATTTGTGTTAATGTAACTCTGCAATATGTTTAAACAGTTGTGCGAAATATTCCGATACATAGGAGCAAATATTATAAACAAACTTTCGATAATTTGAACTCGAAAGTGAAACATGTTGTATGTAATGTTTCAAAAATCATTAATTGTAATTTCTTACAGTTTAACAACATTTGTTCAAACATCTAAATTATGTACATATTAATTATTTCAAAATACATAATTACGAACCGTGTAAAATGAGCTGTCAATAAAACGGTGAGACAGACACGAGCAACAATATGCGTCGACGTCACGACGTGATGTGTAGCCAGGATTGCCAATCTTCAGCTTTTACTATGTTCATGTTGTTTTTTAATTATTCTGATACAATTAAACAAAACTTTATGCATTAGACACCTTCACTAAATCGTATTACAGAAGTATACTACAAATGTTTTAGAATAATTCTGTACAAAATATCACACATCAATTTAATTTATTTATTAAACGTGTTATCAAGATTTCGAGGCATATCATTATTTAATAGAGTGCGAAATCTGTAAAACATTCCTCATGTTTATATTAATAAAAAGTCGAGATCATACTACATATTTTCCATATTTTTTATTTACAATCTCCACTACCTTTCCCATTAATTTCCTAATTTTGATCTATTCTAAAGCTTTGTGGTCCTTTACGACTGCTACAAATATTATTTGAATCCAATTAATACCTAATTAAATGCTTTGCCATTGTTAAATACATTTTTTCATATAATATATTCGTTATAAACGATTATTGGAAGCGATTCTTATTCCAATATTGCGCAAAAAAGTGCAAAACTACAGTATCGCCATCTAATATCAGGGATTCGTACTGCTAAAATCGTGCCAGGATCACAGAATGTGTGAGGAGGTATCGGGAGCACAGCTACACCCACTCCTCCTACTCCTGATACTCAGTACCGTGATTATTCATTAATAACTCTTTTTCTAGGAATAAAATATGAACTTTTAGAATCGAAGAATGTAGTATAGACCCTTGGCAACATTCAAGGATACTTTTTATAACCATGTCACGCGTTATTAAATAGTTATTAACAAATATCTGAAGTCGGAACATTCGCGACTGTGTCACTGTCTGTTTCAATCGATGAATTCTCAACTTTTTAATAATGATACCCATATTTTTGCTATTAGAGACCCTAGCAGACATCCCTGGTAACATTCGAGGACCAATTTTACTACTCTCCGTGCTCTAATTAATTAGTTATTAGCGATAGATCCCTAAAGTGTCGTATTAAAAGGTTAGAAACGGTGTGCCGACTTTGGATATTGGTTAATAACTATTTATTAACGTATGCCATGGTTCGAAAAGGTATCCTTGAATCTTGCCAAGGGTCCATACTATATTCTTAAACTCTAAAAGTTCATATTTTCATCCCAGGAAAGGCGTAATTAGTTAATTAACAAGCAGTGATTCATTGAAAACCGTTATTTCTATGGTGGCGCCGCCAGTGGCGAAAACAACGAACTACGTGTTTCTTGCCTCGTAATGAATTACTGCTCGTTAATTAACTAATTACGCCTTTCCTGGGATTAAAATATGAACTTTTAGAGTTTAAGAATATAGTATGGACCCTTGACAAGATTCAAGGATACCTTTTCGAACCATCCTATGCCTCATCAAATAGTTATTAACAAATATCCGAAGTCGGCACACTGTTTCTAACCTCTTAACGCGACACCTTAGGGATCTATCGCTAATAACTAATTAATTAGAGCGCGGAGCGTTGCAAAATCGATCCTTGAATATTACCAGAGATGTCTACTTGGCTTTCTAATAGCAAAAATATGGGTGTTATTATTAAAAAGATTGAGAATTCATCGATTGAAGCGGACAGTGACACAGTCGCAAATGTTCCGACTTCAGATATTTGTTAATAACTATTTAATAACGCATGATATGGTTATAAAAAGTATCCTTGAATGTTGTCAAGGGTCTATACTACATTCTTCGATTCTAAAAGTTCATATTTTAATCCTAGAAAAAGAGTTATTAATGAATAATCGAGGTATTGCAAATCAGGAGTAGGAGGAGTGGGGGAACCTGTAATCCGGATACCTCCTCACACATTCTGTGATCCTGGCACGATTTTAGCAGTACGAATCCCTGATATTAGATGGCGATACTGTAGTTTTGCACTTTTTTGCGCAATATTGGAATAAGAATCGCTTCCAGTGATCTTTTATAACTTATTAATTACTAATTAATAGTGTATAGAGCAATAATCGTAGAATTTAATTAAATTCGAATAATATTTGGAGTAATTATAAAGGATCATAGAACTTCAGAATTTATAAAATTTAAGGAATTAAGGTAGAGGAAAATGTAAATAAAAAGAATGGAAAATATGTATTATAAATTTGTGTTTTTTATTGAAACAAATAGGATATGCAATTAAGTGATTACAGAATCGGTATGGAGCATGGATGTTGTGTACGTATGAATTTTGATAAATTACGTTCTATAATATAACTACTACGTATAGAATATAATAGATTTTGTTTTTTAACTGAATTTCGGTGTGTCATGTTAGAAACTAATGCTACGACATACAAACTTTTAGAAATATCATGCATTCTGAAAATAACTTTTGATACATTTAACGAACATTTGGTACATTTTATTTAAATAGTTCGGGAAGAGGGAATAGAGAGGTTTTCAACCATTTATGATTTTCCCTTAACGCGGCTCAGATTCACATCACGATGGACATTGAATTTTACGGAGAATTCGTTACAAATTATAATACAATCGTTTTCTGTTGTTTCTTCTCGTGTTTATTATCAGTTACAGTATGTTAAATATAAAGGCACAAACAATGAAAAGTAGTCCTCTACTTTCTAGATCCCTACGGTTCTATTACTTGATTCAGTGCTACCTTTGATATATAATCGCCACTTAACATTAATATAGATTCTTAACGATAGGAATACTCATTACAACGTTAAACCTAAATCTTTGATGTTGAACTTAAATACGCTCGTTATTTCTAGATATTCACAACCCTATAAGAAAAACGTTCAACGTTAAAATTCTTACATATCCCAATTCCTAATACGAAGGCGGCACGCATAAACGAGGAACGAAAGAGAATTAAAATTTCCGTGCGCTATTAATGTATATAAACTGTACCCTGAACAAATTTTCAACAAGTATTAGACGTAACTTTCCCTCGTATGCCCTTCGATATTTTGTATCGTGATTCACAGGATACTATATTTATACTTTCACGTCTATAACATTTTCTACCTCAACATCGAACGACGATCGATAAGTTCTAAGAATGTTTCTCGTATATAAATTCAACATTAATTGCGAACCTCACGTTTGTGCACCATGTAATCGTTACACGTATTGTATTATGTCTTTCTATGTATATCAGTACACAATTATTCTACTGACAGTTTGATCCCCAGGGTTTAATGGAAATTAGGCCTGAAACTTGAATACATTAAATGTAGATGCAAGTAAAAATTTCCGCGGCAAGAAATTCGGATTGTTAATGATTCGTTTTGGAATGTATAATGCCACAGGATGTTGGAAGACATTACTTGATTCTCGCACTGTGACCCGTTCCCTATATACGAAATTCTTTTTTGTACTTTCACACAGTTTCCCGAGTTAAGAATCAAATTCTGAATGTGCCTGTTAAAGATCATCGAAGTTTCATACTCGTGACATATAAAATCTATCAACAATGAAAGAAGGGTTCACTTTTTTTTACCTCGATAGCACCTAGAAAGAAGTTTATACAAATTCCTCTCCTATCGTTCAACGCCGTGAAACGTACGCTAGTCGTTTCTACGCGTTAAATTTACAAACCAACACCTTCAAACTTCTCTCGAATAATTGTATACAAAGTTGAGCAGTTAAATGGAAAACCTTAAATCAAACGTTTGTGCTGGGGCTGAATGAATCGTTAGGCAAGAACGTGATAGTTTATCCAGTAGTTAACATCTTAAAGTATCGTAATCGACGATAAATACTAAAACACATTAGCAATAAATATAGGAAACACGGGAACGCCGATTGTATTATTGCTTACTGATGATACGTATGATTATGATTCAAACAATCTCTCATGGAATTGTTAAACGTCTACGAGAGTTCTCCAGTGTTTTGTAAATTATTTAGCAGAATATTTTGACGAGTTTAGGGAAACGGTCGACGAGTGAATCCTTCTGGATGGCGCCGGGCTTACTGGTGCTGAAGGAGAGGGTCCAGTAGGCGTTGTCGGTTTGGACCCTCTCCTACTCCGCCTCATCGAGGAGTACGGACTCGTGCCTCTGTTCACGTGCTCGTGTGCGTAAAGCAATACGCCGATATCACGATTGCCCGCTTCCAATGCGATTTTCAAAGCGGAACTACCGTCGATATCGGCTATCGATGGATCACAGTCTGGATGCGTAAGTAACAATCGTACGATGTCGGTGTGCCCGTGTTCAGCAGCGCACATTAAGGCTGTACTGCCATCTTCGTCTTGAATGTTCACTGCTGCCCCAGCGTCCAACAGCAATTGAGTCATGTCTTTGCGTCCATGTGACACCGCCAGCATCAGAGCAGTTTGACCATGCTGAAAGAGATACGATTTTATAAGTAATCATTCATGAGGTGTATCGTTGAATATAATGTAGCTTAATGTTTACCAATTTTGCTCGAATATTAACATCCGCAAGTTGAAACAATCTATTTGCCACAGAAGCGTGAGTGGAATTTCGTACTTCGGCGAGAGCTGCTAACATCACGGCTGTGTATCCAGCCACGTTTGCCTTATTAATGTCGCAAACCTTCGAGTCTAGAAGTATGGAGACAACATCGAAATTTCCGTGCGAGACAGCGTAATGCATTGCAGTGTTTCCACTAGAGTCAGTCATGTTAACAATGTACTCCAACAGGGAGCTGGAATATTCTTCGAAACAGTCTAGGTAGTCTTCTACTTCTAAGGGATTGGCGTTCACCGTGCTGGACACTTTGAACCATTCCTGTTGAATGATCGCAATGGCGTTCTTCATTTGATGAGATATATTCTTGTTAGGTGACTTTTTCAGGCTGTCGTTCAGAACTTTCATGGCAGCCTGTATCTCCTTGGTAGGTTCAACCTTCTTTCTAGGTTTCTCTTGAATTGGTTGAAACAGAGCAGACTCTGGAAGCTCGTGTTTCTCCTCGTCAGTCTCTTTCTTCGCGATGTATATTTCCTCTGGCTTCTCATCCTTGCTTTTTTCTTCGTGCAGTTGTTGGATACTACAAAACAGTAAAAGAAAGAAATAGTAATAATTGGTATTGAGTAAACTGCTTCAATGTGTTATTATTGTTATTCTTCATTTTTCTGGTACGGTTTGTAAGAATTTAACGGAAATAATGTTTCGAGGAGTCAATTACCCTTTATCAACGAAACGAGCGGAAGATATTTCGGTGAGTTCGGTATCGTTAACTAAACGGGTAGCGCGTTGTTGATGCTGTTGCAGCATCGATCTGTCGAGACCGGAATACGCGGGTTTACACGTTCACCATACCGAATTCGTAATGATTTTAAGGACACTTTCTCTGTCACTGACCTCCGGTGTGTTATTTACAATTTGACCTCTGCGCACACCTTGAAAACACTATGACGCGTTCAACGCGCAACCATGGAGTCGAAAAAACCAACAACCCCCCCACGAGCCTAATGCCACTAAGCACGCGATATACATTGATCGTACAATCCTTTACCCAACTACCCCTAACGTATACTTTCCAGGTTAGAAACGAGAGATGGCGTACGTTCTATTTTCCGACATTCGTATTGGCGGGATTATAACCTCTCACTAAAATCATAGACTTTATATTTTTGGAAAAGAATTTTTTTCTCGAAAATGCGTAGGATTTCGAGGGTATGTCTGCTGATCAAAAATTATTGCAATTGACCCCCGCAAATGAAAATAATTTTTTTAGGAGGATTTGAATCTTTTCAATTTTGTCGAAAAATTTCAGTACCTTATTGAATTTTTTTCTCGAAAGTGGATAGGATTTCAGATGTATGTGTAATGACCAAAAATTATTGCAATTGACCCTCGCAAATGAAAATAATTTTTCCAGAACGATTTGAATTTTTTCAATTTTGTCAAAAAATTTCACACCTTGTCGAATTTTTTTCTCGAAAATACGTAGGATTTCGAGGGTATGTCTGTTGACCAAAAATTATTGCAATTGACCCCCGCAACCGAAAATAATTTTTCCAAAACGATTTGACACTTTTCAATTTCGTCGAAAAATTTCTTACCTTGTCGAATTTTATTCTCGAAAATGCATAGGATTTCGTGAGTATGTCTATTGACCAAAAATGATTGTAATTAACCCCCGGAGCGGAAAATATTTTTTCCAGAACGATTAGAAATTTTTTTTTCGCCAAAAAATTTAGGCACCTACTCGAATTTTTTTTCTCGAAACTGGATAGGATTTCGGGGGTATGTGTAATGACCAAAATTGATTGAAATTGACCCCTCTAGCTAGTAATAATTTTTCCAGAACAATTAAAAATTTTTTTTTCGTCGAAAAATTTAGACACCTACTCGAATTTTTTTCTCGAAAGTCGATAGGATTTTGGGGGTATGTCTATTGACCAAAAACAATTGCAATTAACCCCCGAAATAGAAAATAATTTTTTTAGAACGATTAGAAATTTTTTAATTTCAAGTCATATGTAAGGTCTACTTGTATACCTCGACTGTATCATTTCGAATAATTTGATATTCAATAATTTAGATTTCCCAAATTTCTAAAATAAAGATAATTGAACAAGACAGAAACGATTCGATGACATTATACGATTGCCACAAAAGAACCTAACAATACACTTATTTAAAAAATGCTACTAACCGATTACTGTTGTCATAATGTTCCTTGTTATCAGCGTCGTATCTAATCACGCCAACAGCCGGTATCTTCGTGTAAGTGTCCTGCCGTTTGAACTGCCTCTTCTGGTCCGTCATGTTGTTCAACGGTATGTGCGACGGCCTGGGTATCCTCGAAACAAGATTCGCGTTCTGGTGGTTCATATTGTTCTCCGCGTTGTTCACGATCTGCTTCGCCAGGTTCTTGATGGTCTCCTTACAATTGTCGCAATAGTTCGCCGCGCACGATATCGAGATGTGCGGCTTCACCGACTCGCCGACGGAGACGTCGATGAGCTTCTTCTTCACCGGCGAGGTGCCAAACTCCCTCTTCTTCGGCGCCAGGCCAGAAGTGTCCGTGCTCTTCACGGTGGTCCTCACCAGATCGTCCACCATCACGCTCACGGACTTCGTGGTCTTCCTTTTCATCGCGTTCTCGCCGTAATTGAACGAGTAACTCCTCGTGTTCATCGAGTGGAGGGACAAGGGTTGGGTGGTAGCCAACGGATCGGGACCAACCGCGATGGTCCTCGTACCAGGGCCAGCTCTGACCTCGATTCCAATTTCGCACACCCTTGGCTTGGCCGTCACGCCCACGTTCGACCTCATTTTGAACGGTTCCGCTGCCTGGGCGTACTGGTTCTTCATCTCGACGATCCTCGCCGGTTCCGGGGTGCACTGGCAACCCCTGGACGCCGTGTCCTTGATCAGAGTGCTCTTGTACATCCTCAATGCGTCGTCGACGATGATCGCGACGTCCTCCTTCGTCAGTACGTCCTTCATGCCGATATTGGTATCCGTACCGTACGATCGTTTCCTGACCTCCTTCTTCGCTTCCGGCGCGATGTCCTCGATCACGAATCGACTCCACACGAGGTCCTCCAATTTGTTCCTCGGGCTCGTGCCGACGTCTCGATAGTTTCTCGAATCTCGTACGAATTTCGGACTGCTCGGCGGTATCGATTCCACCTGAAGTGGGCTCTTTCTCAACCGAACACCCCACATCGTCTCTTCCGGCGTGATCTCCTCGCACGTCGTTCGGCCGCGCGTTAAGCTCGACTTCCAACCGTCTCGAGAATCGTTCGAGTAGAACTTGTCGAGGCTCGACGACGACGTCCTTTCGTCCGACGACGTGCTCCGGTCTCTTATTTCAGGTACGATTTCTTCGATCTGCAATCGACTCCACTGCAGGGATCGTTTTATCGGGGTGCTCGTTATCATGCCGATATCTCGTGTTCGGACCTGATCACGTGACAACACCCGGTTAGAATAACTCCTTGCAACGTCTATTATTCGGCTAAATACTACGCTAATGCACTCTCGTCAGATTTGGGAAACTCTAAGGCTACTTGCAGAATTCGAATATAGCTTGATGAGGAAGATAATGGTCGTAACAGGAAGCGAGATGAAAATGGTACCAACGAATTCTTCACATTCTTCTGATTAAAATAAGAGTGATTCATTTATATTTATAATGGGGATGCATATGGAAAAGAATGTTGAGCTGTGGAAATTGAATGCTCCAAGGAATTTGAGCAGCCATTACGATTTCTAGCGAAAGTCTATTAGAGTGTTTTGTAAGACATGGCTTTAGGAGTTTAATTTAATCTTGATCGCGAGCCACTATCTTTCTTATCGAGAAAAATGGCACGAAAGTGTTTACAAACAGTTGGCATAATTCTAATCGAGATACGAAGCAGACTGATTGTGTACGAACAATTGTACTGCTTCGATTAATATTAAAAGCTCTCTGAAAAGATTCTATATCTTTAAAATTGAGTATGAGCTACTGTTAACACTAGATTTACGGGCATTGATCGTATATTTATTGATACCTTTCATGTTGACGATTATCTTACATTGCATCAATCAAATTCAACATAAGTTGTTAAAAAATAATATTTACACGTTCTGTAATTATAAATATGGAATCAGACATCCGTCAAATTGACGGTTTTCGTAAATTTAGTGTTAATCGTGGATCGAGGATCCCCAGGTGATCCTCTCCATCCAGCGATCATCGAACTCGAGGTCGTTACTATTGCAAGCAATGATTCATTTTTTTTAATGAGTTTAACATTGAACCGTTCGCATGGTCCGTCATCTGTCTAGCTTTCTCGATGGAAAATGATCTTCCGTTCTCCATTCTCCCACCGAACAATGTTCCAGCGATTATCTGATCGACAGTATGGATCCAATCTTAATTGTGTTCCGTGCCGCGTTTAACATAGTGTGAGAACATGACTCGAAGGGGTCTTCTAATTTACGATACTAAAAAGAAGCGTTTATGCATTTTTTTTTCTCAGGCTCTACAGCTTTCTCAAACTGTACAGATTTTTTTTCACTAATTTTTATAAGCGAAATTGAATAAAGAAATGAATTTTTTGAACGTCTGGAGTAGAATTAGACGGATTTAGAGGCTTTCTCACCTTCCCAAATGGTAATCCACCGAGTTCGTTGTTAATTAAAAACTGTGTTCCCTAGCCCGTATGCAAATTCTTCTCGGTCCGTTGGAACCAACATTTCCAACTTGTATCGCGAGTTTCTCTCGCGAAACAAAATAGATCAAATACCCCGATAAATCCGGCGGCCGCGGAAGCGAACTGCTACCGTATGTACACTATGTCGAAAAAAAAAATCTGCCCATGCCACTGCAGGTGTATTATTTTCCCCGTGAAATTTTGTTTATTGACTGTTTAGTTTGGGGAAACAACTATACGATAGATTGCAGTGCTCTAAACCTCGTGTGTGTGTAAAGGTTTAATAAAAAAAGTAAATACAAGAATAAAAATGTTTTTTCCAAGTTCATAATGTTACTAGCTTTAAACGAAAGGTTGGTTGGAGAAGAATGAATGTTTATTTATAAACATACTACCTACATATTGAGTTTCCATACCATTGTTTTCTATTCTCGTTTTCTACGTTCCACATTACATTACTTTTATTGTAATTTTATTCTAGACAAAAACCGTGAATCAGTGAAACCGTGCTTTTTACACACAATACCTATTTCCCTATTTTCCCCTGTCACAATTAATTGTTCCTCAACGCTCGAAGGACCTACTAAACTTTCTATCTTACATACACTCGATATCTTCTAATTATATAAATGTTTCTTGCCCAAATCTATATTCACCCGTTTCACTTTCTCCTGCTTTAACTACGAGTTTCAAATAGTTATTGCCCTGCGTAAAACTGCAAATCTAGTCTGGATATAAAGTATGTTTCTGTCTAAATGTGCAAGAATGAGGTTCTACAAGCCGTCCTCTCTTTCTCAAATGAATAAATTTCATTTCTCATTCTCCACCATTTGTATCTTAACGAAGGATCTAAATTAGTGTATTCCTCAACAAAGATTCTCGAAGGCCTCCAAAGCTTCAAATGGGAATACCTCTAAAACTATTGAGTTTCTAGACCCTCTAATCTTCGTGCAAACAGTGTATCAAAATTACAATTAACTCAGAGAACTCTCATTCGACTAAAAAGTCCACGATGACGAAGCAGGTGAAAAGGTCAAGTTTGATTCGTTGAAATATTTCATTGATCTAGGTAACAATTTTGGCCGACTCAGGGCCCCGAGTACCTGCTGGTGGGAGACGCCGACGTCCCTAGTCATGACGCCACACATCGTTCCCATGTCCCTGGTCGGCGTCGGCGTCGTAGCGTTCTTCAGATTACGCATCGACGCCCTCTGTTCGGAGAACGACTGGCTCCTGTACCTGTGCAACGTATCGTCGCGGGAATTCGTTTTGCTCAGCTCGTCCACTTGTCGCAGGAGGCTCCGTTTCTCCTCTTTCAGCACCGACACCTGCACCTGCAACGCGTACACCGCGTGAAAGCAGAGGAAAAAGAAAAAAAGGGGACCCGATAATTAGAGACCTAGCGCCGTGTCGCGATCGCTTCTCGCGGATCCAGATAAACGAAGCGTCGGTTTCTTCGCGATGTGTCGTCGGGATAACGAGAAACCTGCGTCGCGACGTTACGTTCGGACGTAAACGAGTCCATCGGAACGGATACCGATCGACACCGTCATTTTCTGCGACGTTCAGGCTCGCCTCGCGATTATAATTGGACGATGCTACGTGGATCGCGGTGGATGCAAACGTTTATGGCCGGCGATCCTGTTTCAGATACGGCAATCTGCTTGTACGGCACAACCGTTTACCAGTTATTCAGTCATGGAACGCTTGCATTCCGTTTTAATGGGACGCCCGGTGCAATCAAAAAACCAAACGCGTGTTTCGATCGATTTCAGTGGGACGTTCGATCGCTAACTTCAGAGAAAAAGTGAGACACGAAGATCGTAAGAGAAAGTTGAGATACCGAGATGTGTTAGAAATGATAGAAAGGGCCATTTACTTCGAACCCCTGATTTTGTATGTTCTTTTAATCAGATCATAATTTAGTAATTTCCAGTTTTTGATTTAGTTAGAGCTATCGGTGAAAGTTATCTAACAGATTCTACTGTAATTTGTTGTAATCATATGCTAATAAACGAGCGATCCATAGACTGTGCAAACTCTGCTTCTGAAATATTACATGTCGTACAAACAAGATTTCTTTTTAGCGTATTGTGGAGGCATCTAAACGTTAAGTAACCTCCGTCGATCTCTGAAAGGCTCTGTGTAAATACACACCAGTTAGCAGCGACTCGCGTATCGCACATTGAGACGCCATATTGCAAAGGATCTGGGACGAAACGCCACAGTTTTCGCTGCTCGTTAAAACTAATTCCTTCTCATTTAATAAATAGTCGTTACTAACTAGCAAATCTTGACTTGAATTTAAGATTGCAAGCTAAAAGACTGCACAAACTCTCTGAACGTTCTAATATCTGCTCCCGATTTAAACGACCTGACTCGAAGAAGTCTCTAAACGTTCGCTAACTAAAAACTGATTCGAACGGACGTGTCCAACACTCTCTCCCCGGCTTTTCCGTCGCAATTTGAAGTTTGCCAGGTGCGGTCGTGGAGTCGAAGACTCGATTACCGCGACGCCCGGACTAATTGCGTTACGAGCGCGGATAATTGCGTTTCCCCGGCGGAAGTAATGCGACGGGGACGAACGTACGGTCGGGTCCGTACTCCAAGGAAAACGTTAAACGGATTCGACACGCGGAATTGCTCGAGCGTCGTTTACCTGCAACATGGGAATCGCCTTGACCTGTTCCTCCAGCTCCCTCATTCGTTCCAACGACGCCGCCATTTGCTCCCTGATGTTCTGTAACACGTAGTCGTTGGTTTTAGCCTCGCGACCGCGTTCCCCGCGTTCACGATTTCACGATTAACGCGTTTGTAGGTACTTGTTGCATCCTACCTGTAGCGCGCCCGTGCTGAGGTTCGAGTTCCCGCTGCCGACGCTCGCGTTGTCGAAATCGCCCTGGTGCTCCGCCTGCACGGTGTTCTGCGTCGGTGTCGTCGTGTTTGTTCCATCTAAACAATTTTTTAGTTCATGCGTCAAACGTCTCCCCAAATCAGATAGCCAATAGTCCCCCCAATTTAATTTTATTCCATCCAAATCGTGCAATACAACCCCTTTGAACTCGATCCTCCCTACTAAGTTCCTCTTTTCTGAGAAGACACGAAGAGATTGTTTTTTTTAACAAAATCAAAAAAAAATAAAATTCCCTGGAATTTTTATTGAAGACTATATTTCTTGAAAAGAATCGAGTCGTGATTATTATTTCTTTCTTGCTAGTAATTAACTTGTTTGCTTCCTGAATATGTAGCAATTTTTTGTCCATTTTATTGTAAACTTTAGACGTGTTTTTTAAACCATCTGGGACTGTATCTTGTTTGGAGCTGTATAGAGTGAAAACAGTTATGATTTTTGTACTTTTAAAGGAGAAATAACGATGAGTTCGTTGGACTATTGAATGGAAGTACGACGTTCCAAAGTTAAATAGGTCGATTGAATTTTTTGAATGGCGTGTCAGGTATAATGCGCCACAGGTCTGCAGTTCTCGCTGCATTCATTTACACGAATATAAAATAGACAATCAACGCTGTCACACACTTGCGCGCGAGGTAATGATCGTATTAAATAGGCTCGCAGGTGCGCAGTTAAATATATTTACTGCTCAATTTACATTACGTTTCTATCCATGTACTCGTACAAATAATTAAAATACTAATAAAGAGAATATAAATAAATCTCAAACCGTGTAAAAGAAGGTTACAAAATTTTATCTCGAATAAACTTTATGTATCTGTCCTTGCGCGTTTGTATTGTTTGCAGTAATAACAGTGTATATTTCCTAAATTATAAATAAATACCATTCCTTTCTTTTATTTTAACTAAATATAAACTTTCGTTACGTGTATTTCTTTTGCAAACCAGACTGTTTTCAACAGAAATTTATATTTTCGCATCAGTTGAAGCGAGTAAACATTTTAATATAGAATTAATGGACAGACTGAGTTCGTTTTGTTCCAAGAATTTCCAATACGCAGCCTGGTGTAAATAAACATTTTGTTTCGAAGAAATCATGCGTTTATTTTTTCGTTTTTTTGGGAGTTGCGAAAACGAACGAGTATTTCGATGCACTGGTAATGAAAGACCGATGGATTTTCGATACGCGAATATTCCGACAGATGAATTAGCCGTTTGATAGGATTAATATTTCTTCTTTGATGCGTAAATAATTTAATATTTCAGTCACGCGTTACTCTGTCTACACTGTGCACGCGATAATTAATGAATTTTCAATGCGCGAAATATTTCCATAAATACGCGGCTCTTGATAAAATTATTACCTTTTTATCCGTGAGCGCGCGTAATTGAATATCGCGACAGCGGGCAATAATGCATGGATCCCGTACAAACACAACCACGGTACCCTAAGCTCGGCGTAAAAGTGAATATTTATACGATCAGGAAGTGCTTCGCGCGATAATACGACTTTTTCATAGCGAAATCGGTGCGTACCGATGCAAATTTTTGCGCGCGAAATTACCGCCCGCTCGTTGAATGAATAAATAGGTATTTGTAATTAAAGAAATATTTAAATACGATCGTAAAATTTGTTGGCGTCCCGAGTATGTAAATACCGAAACACAGTTTAAAGAGATATTAACTGCTACACCCGGCGCATAAACGAATAAATATTAATGCACCGCTCAAATACCATTCGCGGGTACGTGTTTTCGGATAATTTGAGCCAACGAAATGAAAGTCAAGGATGACGAAAATGCTGCGTTGTTATTTCTAAATTACCCTGATACGCCTAAACTTTACGTGCCTCGTCGCGAAAGTATAACGTCGTTAATTTGGCGAGCATATTTTACAGGTGGTAGACTAGTTGGTATTAATGATGAACACTAATTGTTCAAAACATCTAAATTTATATGGGACTATGATTGTACTCATAAGTGCATGAACTTGTAGTTGAGTCAAATTTCATATCAACATTGACTTGAACTTGACTCAGAATCTAAATCAGTATCGACTAGTCTTTAACTTTTATTTGGCTCATTCAGGACAGGTTTACACTTAGGTTAACGTAGAACAGTCATCTGAATAAGTTACTATCAACAAGAATTAAAACTGGACTGGCGATTAATATCAACATCGACTGGGACTTGATTTAGAATTTCAATCAGTATCAATCAGTTTTCAACTGTTATTTGACTCATTCAAGACATGTTTACTCAGTTTAAACGTATGGTAATCACCTGAATGAATTACTATCAACACGAATAAACACCTGACTCAGAATGTGAATCAATATCAACGAGAACTGCATTCACGATTAATATCAACATCGACTGGGACTTGACTCAGAATTTCAATCAGTATCAACCAGTCTTTAACTCTTTTTTGACTCATTCGAGACATGTTTACACCCAGTTTACACGTATGGTAATCACCTGAATGAATTACTATCAACACGAATAAACACCTGACTCAGAATATGAATCAATATCAACGAGAACTGCATTCACGATTGATATCAACATCGACTGACACTTGACTCAGAATTGAAATCAGTATCAACCAATCTTCAACTCTTATTTGACTCATTTGAGACATGTTTACACCCAGTTTACACGTATGATAATCACCTGAATGACTTACTATCAACACAAATGAACACCTGACTCAGAATGTGAATCAATATCAACGAGAACTGCATTCACGAATGATATCAACATCGACTGGGGCTTGACTCAGAATTTCAATCAGTATCAACTAGTCTTGAACTCTTATTTGACTCATTCGAGACATGTTTACACCCAGTTTACACGTATGGTAATCACCAGAATGAGTTACTATCAGCACGAACGGAACACCTGGCTTAAAACGGGAATGAGTATCGACGAGTACTGATAATTAATATCAATACGGGGCAGAGGCGTGCAGCAGAGAATCCGAATCAATACGAACGTACACCGTGCTCCGTAATTAATATTAACATTAAAGGGGACTTCCTCCTCCATAACGCAACCCCCAGGAACAATGGCTCTTAACAAGTCGTCGTACGCGTGCGTTACGCAAGCCACGTTCACCTGCGGTTCAATTTTTTTAATTGATTCTTGCGCAAGGGGCCGTAGCACGTTACGGCATTAAAACGCTCCGCCCCCCCCCTGCCCCCCGCGCGCGAGACAATAAAGAAACGCGCCAGACGTCGCGGCATTTCGAATCCATTCGACGATATCGTGACACGGACTTCGCGGGCTCGGCGTAATGCCAAAGGATTTCCCCGCACGCGACACAACGCGCGTCATGCGCCCGTGCAAACAGCCCTAATCCATCGTGGACCACTTTTCCTCGTTCCAAACCGTGCGTACCGTTCTCAAATTTGTTTGCAAACTCCGTTGCATTGGCGCGGCTCCACGTACGTTCGGTCATAATTCAAAAGTTACACCCCCCCTTTCGCCCCCCCCCCTCTCCGGAAACTCGTTGAAAGTTTCTCGAAATTGCTACGTTTCCCCGGCACCCGGAGAGTTTCCGGGTTTCCACGAAGAATCGAACTTTTTATTAATCGAAGGTTGGCGCGACCTAAGAATAATTTATGATTTTTTTGGGAGGAGAAAATAAAACGCAATGAAACGATTACATCTTTCTTCGATTTTACATTGAATTTTAATTGAGATATTTTTCGTGTAAGATATTATGTCATGTGATACCCTTTCGTGTGATAATTTGTCACGTGATGTTTTATCGAATGTTATTTTTAATTCAGACTCAAGATAGAGTAGTTGTTTGTATTTTAAATGGAAAATCGTTTGTTTGATTAATTGCATTTTCTGAAAGCTTTTAGAAGCGAGCGAGACTATCTGCCTGTTCTACCTATTTAGAGGCGACGACTTGGCGTCTTCTATAATTAATACCTTTAGGTTTGTTTAACGTTTCCATCAACAGTTTCTCATTCTATCCATTTGGAGGCTAACCACTCGACGAGTTGTGTAATTAACACCTTTAATTCTGTTTGACTGTAATTATGCATATGTATGGTTCGAATATCGAGGAATCTTATGATAATTCGTTTCCAAAACACGCGTTCTCGAAAATAACTCATTTCACACTAGACTAAATTTAGCTTTTAAACAGAGCTTCAGTTCGATTAGCGTTTAGTTTAGCTTGACAAAATTGATACGTCCAATTGTTTTCGCAAGAAAGGAGAAATTTTTGAATATGACCCAATTTTTTGGGTTTCAAATTAGGAAAATTCCTTAGAATGGCTGGACACGATCCTCCTGGAGGATGCGACAACGCGAACGCGCACGATCGTCGCGCGAATAATGGCGCGTAATCGTTACGTTGAGCTTTATATGGAAGAGAACAGGCGGATTTCACCGCGTGTGGATTAGAAGCGTTATTCTCGAGATGAAAAAGCGAATCGTGCAATGCTGGTCGTGAAAGTCAAGTTAAGGGGAGCGTCCCAGCCGCTCTGGAGCCTACTCCTTCATTTTAACCTCTTTGAAATGGCGCATTAATGCCTTCGTGGGTCCAACACGATAACTCAATAGCTCAGAAATGGATCAGATAGGACATCATTTTGCAAGACTTTCTGAACAACTCAACAACTCGATAATGTCAATATCTACTCATATATCATTCAATACAGTGGTTAAAAAATTTTTCTCACTGTTATGAATCATATCAGAGGAGGGCTTGTTTACTAATCAGAATTTCAGATTCGCAGGATTGGGAGAAAATACGTGAGAAACTGATTAAAATCGTTCTGGTAAAAAACATGCCTCGGCTATTTAAAGTGTTCCGTGACTAAATAAGTTTGGTTTATGGAATAAAATGCCACTGAGTTTTCTAGGCGAATTAATGTGAGATTTCATGCGAATTCACGACTGGAGAGATGTTCCCGAACAATTCGCCACAGAGATCGTTGATCGCCGTGCATTCCGATACGATCTAGTTCGAGGTGAATTTCACAATTAAACCAAGAAGTTTCACGTGTTCGTAAACGACTGTT